CAGCTATGCAATGCAGAAAACGCATATTGACGAGAGGTTGTCTGTGTGTGTGTCTTTGTGTCCGTGTGTGCGTCTTTCACGCTTTTTCATCTCAAGCTACAGGGCTAAAACTTTGGGAACTTAATCTACACGCACGTACGGGCCCCAGTCCCTAAAATGGACGCCATTACCCGCGTGGTACACACGTAACAGTTCGCCAAAGTTTTTTACGGGTAAGCTGCTAACTCGGAAACCAGAAGTGCATGGGGGTTGAAATCTTAGGGGAATGTCCCCAATCCAAGTAGATATTAATGAGCTTAAACCCAGCCTCCAGGTAATCGTGCTACCCGCATACGAGTCCGTCAAAATTTTTTTCGGGTAAGTTCATAACTCGGGGTTCTGAGAAGCTAGAATGTTGGAATCTTAGGGAGATGATCCCCATCCAAATAGGTATTAATGAGCTCAAACCCAATCCTGGGCATGCGTGGTGCCCACGTGCGGGTCCGTGAAAGTTTTCTTCCTGCTATCTCAGGAGTCAGGGAAGCTAGAAAGCTGGAATTTTGAGGGGGTGCTTTCTGACAGTTCCGGCGGCCAGTCTTAATTTGTTTAGCTAGAAGCATTTACCAGCAAGCATTTACCGCGGCAACATTCCCATTTGCTTTGAGCAATGCTGCATTGTCTGGTAGTCAGCCTGCTGGTGATCCTAACGTTCTTGTGCTCGCCTACGGGAATTATAAGCTTGGCGGCCTCCCGTACATCGTTCTGGCGAAGCAGTGCAGCGCAGTGCTTTTTGACATGTAGATTACTTTGTAGCCATTGCAAGCTGCTTCTGGTATAATCTAACTGTAAAATTAAATTCAATTTGTAAAGAGAAATTAAATTCAAAAAAATTCATTTCTGAGATCCGTATTTCAAATCACAAAAGTTTTAAGCTTGATCTTACAGCTAAGGGATGAAACACAGACTGCTTACTGGCTTGTCCACTTACAGCACGTCTTAAACTTTATTCTCACTTTTATGTTTGATTTGCTTGCGAATACTATGCCGACAGTTTTTCCCGTTTTTCCCTTTTTCGTACCGAATTAAACTTTTGTAGCAAATTCGCATCGTTTTGTTATTTTTCATATCCTGCGTATGTCATCATATTTAACATAGGATATTCATTTCAGCACCAGTAACACCTGGATTCTCTGCTGCAACATGGAGACGAATGATTTGAGCTACGAGAATTTGCCCACCGAACAACAACAGCGTATGATTTCTGATTCAGTGACCGTTACGATAGCCAACAAAAATTCAGTGTTATTTAGCCCAGGGAGAACACGTGCTGTTCAGTAGTTTCAAGAAGCCCCTAGTTTCTTATTTTAACTTTTTTTTCAGTTCATTTATTTAGTTTTTCATCTTATTTTTTTTTAGTTTTGTTTTTTAATTTATTCTTAGTGTTCTGCTTAACGAATTACAGCTTCCAACCACGAACAAGGTTACCTCAGTTCCAGGTTAACCCATACCCGAATCTTGCCCCGTTGAAGCGAGTCGAAGGTTGTGAATAAAGGCTGTGAATAAAGATTTAATTACAGCGCTAATAAAATATAACAAACAATCGCAAAGGAAACAGCGGCGCGCAACGAGACGCAGGGCGAGAATGAAATGGCCGACAGGGAGCAAGCGCGGCACACGCGGTGGGCGGGGAGTAATCGATAGGGCAGCAGCGGTTGTGAACTGTGCACACACTGTGCACTTAGGGAGACGCGGTGGGCGTCCCTCAGCCTCGCTTACAGTCCTCTACTAAAAATGCAACGCACACAACAACAGAGCAAAACATAAAGATCATTGTCTTATCTCCCGTCAGTGTGGGGGTCATACGTCACATTAGTTTATTTTTATCTTAGTTTTTACTTATTTAGCTATCGTTAAGCCATATTGTAGCTTTACTTGACTAGAACAGTTCGCATCTTTTCTGTTTTGATCGATTGCTATTGCATTTTTGGATGCTGTTGACCTTTATGCCTACCCGTTCCCCTAGATTCGTTTCTTCCGGAACAGGGAAATCCAGCCTTTTTGCGTTCTTTATCCCTTCTGTATGCTCTTTAAGCTCACTTCTTTCATACGTCTCTCTTCTTTTGCTACAGGGATCAAACATTAGAGAACATGTACTTGCAGAATTTGTTTAGGAAATCAATCAAAGTGGATTATTTTGTTGTCTCTCGAAAGACTGATGAAGAATTATCATTGATGTTTGATCGAAATAATCGTTATTTTTCAGCACCACAAATGGTGGATGCAAGGCTGGAAAGAGATGCTGCGATGAGCAGTAGTGCTGTTGCAGCAGCAGAAGGCGAAGGTTTGCTGATGTCCGAGAAATGTTCAATTTGTTTGGGTCAACCGATGACCGATCAGACACGTTTGGATGGATGTGCACATAATTTTTGCTTTACGTATGTGTTTTTCAAAAAAAAAAAAAAAAGATAGAAAATAGAATACTCTGTTTCTGGTATTGCCAAAATAGAACGCGCTGTTCTCAGATTCTACTTCAGAAACTGATCGGTACTTAGCAAAATCATCTTCCCTGATGATTCAGGAATTAAACGCCTAGTCAGCAAACTATTCTCATAAAAAGACTTTCCTTCAATAATTAACAGCTAATGATTTTCCGTGTCATGATTAATTTTTCTCTTCTTTCTCTTCCACTCTGCTTGTCCTCTTCCTGTTTTCTCTTTCTTCCTCACATCTATCTTGCAAATTAGTTACATGACTGTTCAATATATGGTGGGTAGGAGGCTGTACTGATGATTCCCGCTCCTACCCACATGCAAAGTTCGGTTTGTGTTTACAGCTAAGGAATGAAACACAGACTAAACATCGTAAAATGTCTTTTTACACATGATACTCAAGTTCAGTCCTTCTATTCTACTATTTCTTACAAATTTTTTTGTCTCTTTGTTAAAAAGCTTATTTCTGCGCTAATTATTACTTGTGTGCACATTGAAGATGTATAACTGAATGGATCAAATTGCGTCCAGTTTGTCCGATGTGCAAACGGCCCATACATAAAGTGGTGCATCAACAGCAATTGCCTGATGGTACAGTATGTG